ATGACAAGTTGTTATTCAGTCGTGTCTGACTCTTCATGACCCCATTTGGAGTTTTTTTGGCAAAGATACTGGAGAGGTTTGCAATTTCCTTCTCCAGCTCATTTCACAGATGTGGAAACTGAGGTTTCCACAAAAGGTTTGTGACTCTTCTAGAGTTGCATAGTTAGTGTTTGAGACCAGATTTGAGTCTTCCTGACTCCAGGCCTGGCATGCTATCCACTAGAGTTAGACACAAAACCAATGTTCAAATGTCACTTTTTTTTCTTCTGAAAAAAAAATGCCTGATTTATGGAGCTATCTGATTCTCAAGGGATTCAAAATGGCTTAGTTTGAAGCCTGGTTCTGACATTTAGACATAGTGAATAAGTTATGATCCTAAGATTGTCCCATGATTGTATCCCAACCATCCATATCACTTTAAGCAAGTCACTTAACCTTTCTGTGCCTCAATTTCCTCTCCTGTAAAATGAGAAGGAATGTCATTTAAGAAGCAATGCCCATGTAAAAAAAAGTTTCAATATAAAAAGAACTAAAAAATTAAATCAATACAAGAAGTTTTGATTAGATGACTTCAAAATTCGCTTCCAACTTTATGATCCTATGAACCGAAGCTGAGTTGATTCTGAATTAACTTTCATTACATGAGCAGTCACATCGTAGCCCAGGTGGTAAAAATAATTTTCCTTTTTCTTTTGTGAAAACAATTTTCAAATAGAAATGCAGAATTTTCAAGAACAGTACATTACATAAAACATTGGCAGATTTATAAGAATATGAGTCATTCCCCAATTGATAAATTCAAAGGATATGAACAGGCAGTTTTTTGATGAAGAAATCAAAAGTATTCATAGCCTTATCAAAAATGCTCTAAATCATTATTGATTAGAGAAACAAATTAAAACAACTTTGAGATATCATCTCACATCTATCAGATTAGCTAAAATGGTAGAAGGGGAAGATGACCAATATTGGAAGGGATGTGGTAAAATTGGGACACTAATACAACCATTTGTGGAGCTGTGAATTGATGCAACCATTTTGGAGAGCTATATGGAATTATGCCCAAAAAGTTATAAAACTGTGTAGACCCTTTAACCCAGTAATACTATTATTAGGTCTGTTTCCAAGGTGATCATGGGAAAAGGAAAAAAACCTATAAGTTCTAAAATATTTATAGCAGCTTTCTTTGTGGTGGCAAAGAACTGGAAATTGAGGGGATGCATATCATTTGGGAAATGGCTGAACAAGTTGTGGTATATGAGAATGATGAAATACTTCTAAGTGATGAGTGGGTTGTTTTTAGAAAAAGCATCGAAGGACTTTGCATGAAATAATGAGACGTGAAATGAGCAGAACCAAGAGAACGCTGTATACAGTAACAGCACTATTATTTCAGGAATAACTATGAATAACTAAGCTATTCTGAATATTATAAATATTCAAAGCAACTATAATAGGGCCTATGGAGGAAGGTGCTATCCACCTTCAGAGAAAGAACTGATAAATAGAAGTATGCATGATATAGTTTTATATCTATCTATCTATCTATCTATCTATATCTATCTATCTATCTATCTATCTGTCTATCTATCTCAAATGGTAGCCTTCTCTAGTGCAAGATGGGGGGAAGGGAGGGAGATACTTCAGAACTTAAAATGTAACAAGAAAATAAAATAAAATTTAAAAAATAAAATACTGGATTTGGAATTGGGAAGAGCAAAATCCCATCTCTGATGTTTATTAGCTATGTGATTATAGGCAAGTAGTCTGACCCTCAATTTGCTCATCTGTAAAACGAAGCCATTAATATCTGCAGTACCTACCTTAGACTTTTGTAATGAGGCTTAAATGAGATGATGTATGTTATGTACTTTGTATACTTTGAAGGGCTAATAAACTATTATTATGACTATGACTCCAAGAGGGCCAAGTAATCACTTTGTGAAGGGAGGGGGGAGGTAAAAATAGAGCCTATGGTACTAAGATTTGTGTTTGGTTCAGTCACATCTGACTCTTTGTGACCACTTTTGGGATTTTGTTGGTAACAATAGCTAGCAACTGCATTTAATAAAGTCAGATCTCCAGCATTTTCATAACACGGGACACTGACTCTGAATGACAGCCTTAATAAGTGGGACTTCGAAGCAAAATACAGAGTTCAGAGACTGCCCTGATATGAGCTCATCCATATCTCTGAGCAATGTGGTCAGACACATAATGGCTAATGACTGAAAAAGCTACTAGTTTCCAGGGACTTTTGAGCTATAAAGGGTCATTATTCTGGCTATTTTCTAGATTTTATAAATGGCCTCCCTTAATGAGAGAGAATGAATGCCCTATTTGGGAACATGGACAGTATTTTCTTGTCTCCCCAAATCCTTGTTATGGACCACTTTTATTTCCCATGCTTTCCATTGGTGTAGGGGTGGACCCAAATAGTGACCTTGGTGAGTGGATAATATTTCAAGCATTCTTACCAGTTCTTTTCTGAGGAAGGCCAAGGCACTTTCAATGTCTAAGCTCTGTCTATCTGGTCTATCTTCTTTGCTGCAATACCTCAAGGAGGAAACTTCTGCTGGGCTACAGCTATTAAATGTGACAGATTTTGAAGAAAAATCTTTAAGCTGTGTCAAAACGACCTCCATTTTTCTAAATTTGAATTCAGCTGAGAAGGATACAGCTCGGTCAAGGTCGGTTTAGCTTTTGCTGAGTTATTTGGAATGTAAATCCTTGAAAACTTGCAAGGATCTGAATTGCAAACACTGATGTAATGTAATTGAGATTTAATTAGCCAATGGGAGATGCCCATTACTTCTGAGTGAAGCCTCTCCCCTTCTTCACCCATGCTCTTTTCTTCTCTAATCACCACTGTAGTATGGGGGAGGATCATAAAAGGGATGTGTGCTTTGTCAGCTGTGAACACTTCCTGAGAGGTCTCAAGTGAAGTGTAGCAGTTTTACAAAAAACCAGAAATGGCTAGTTTTTTCTTCAAATTTACTAGCAAGAAAATCCTGATATTTCTGTATATTAGGAAATAAAAGCCAAGGACGGTCACTGAGCTCCTGAAGTAAAGAATTCATAAGACATAGCTAAATGTCACTTGATTCTCTTAGGAAATCTTTAGAAATCAGTAATCATACATTCATATAATGCTTTAAGGTTGACAATTGAAATTTGGACGTGTGCACCTGGAAAATTAGGGTGTTTAGTCACTCATTCTTCAGTTGTGTCCTATTCTTTGTGACCCCATTTGGGATTTTCTTGGCAAAGATACTGGAGTGGTTTTCTATTTCCATCTCCAGCTCATTTCACAGATGAAGGAACTGAGATAAATGGGGTTAAGTGACTTGCCCAAGGTCACACAAACTTGTAAGTGTTTGAGGCCAAATTTTAACTCAGGCCTTTCTGACTCTAGGTTGGGCACTATCTGTTATGCCACCCAGCTGCCCCAGACTTAGTGGTGGTGGCACCCTTACAGAGCATTGAGACCAACTCCCTCATTTTACATATGAGGAAACTGAGACTCAGAGACGTTAAGTGACTTGCTTAAGGACATACAACTAGTAATTGTCTGAGGTAAGATTTGAAGCTAGGATTTCCCAACTCCAGGTTCAGTATTTTACAAGTTTGTGTGACCTTGGGCAAGTCACTTAACCCTGTTTATCTCAGTTCCTTCATCTGTAAATTGAGCTGGAGAAGGAAATGGAAAACCACTCCAGCATCCTTGCCAAGAAAACCCCAAAATTTCCTTGGGCATTTCCTTCATGTTCCAGCCAACGTTCTGCATTCTCCAGGAAGCCTCTCCTAATCTCTCTTAGTTCTTGTGTCTACTTCTGTTGATTATTTTCAATTTATCCCGTATACAGACTGTTTGTACATAGTTATTTACATGTTGTCTCCCCCATTAGATGGTAAGCTCCTTGAGGGCAGGGACTGTCCTTTGCCTTTCTTTGAATCACCAGCACTTAGTACAGTGCCTGGCACACGGTAGGAACTTAACAAATGGTTATTGATTGACTGACAGTACTGTCCAGCCAGGAGGAGCTGTAGGAGTTCTAATTCTACCCCTTGGGTGAATCATTTAATCTCTTTTCAATCTCTTCATCTATAAGAAGGAGATAATAATAGTAGCTCCTATCTCATAGGTTAGTTGTGAGGATCAACTAAGATAAAGCACATAAAGTACTTTGTAAACCTTAAAGTGCCACAGAACTGCTAGCTACCTCTTTTTTTATTATACTATGATGCTTCTCATACCACCCCCTTGAGAAGAAAGGGGAAAGGTCTTTATTTTATATATTTTGCTCTGGACCTGAGCATAGATTACTTTGGCAGATTTTTTCGCTCGAGCAATAATTCTTAGTCAAAGAGCCTTCGAATCCTTTCCCAGTCTTAGATTTATTTATCTCAGTGTCTTCCAGGTTAGTTACATTCAACTGTAAGAGCTGGATCCTAAAGCGAGCCAGGCTGGGAAATTAATATCTCAGAGGTCTCTCACCAAATAGTTATAAGTTAACTTTTTCAAGGTTTTTCAGATCATTGAAGGAATGTTTTGCAGGAGCTTCTAAAGGCTTAGTACTAAGTATTAATTATTGTCAAAGTTTCCCCCCCAAATAAATTGGTTCTAACCTTCAGAACTGTAATTAGGGCAGGAATATGAGACATATTCAGTGTCCCCCAGGACACTGAAATTTAGAGGGTACAACAAATTGTCCCTTGCACTCCCTTAGCAGAGCAGAAGAAGCTGAGGGGAGCCTGAATTTCTGGTTGGGGCACTGATCCATATGGGGTTTTCTTCTTTAGGGACTCTCCCAGAAGATTTCCTCAGATACTGGTGAAAGGACAGTACAAAAGAAGATTGAGTTTCAGTGAAGGGGTTGCTGATGGGACAGCAGACTACAGTCTGTTTACTCCTATCTCATCTCCTGACCTTTCTTAAAAGTCCCCAGCCCACTCCTTCCATTCGTTAAGTCCAGTCATCTTTCTTCCCTCTTTTCCAGGTAAACCAGCATCTTCCCTGTCCTCCTCTGAAACAGCAAGACCTCCCCAGTAACAGCAAATAATCCCCATGCTACCTTCTCTCCCATTCTTTGGATGGGAAGGCACTTGCCGAAGCCTCTCTGAATTTGAAAGCCCAAGGGACCCACCCAAGTCCTGGGGGTTTCACGAGGTAACTTCCAAAATGCCCTCAATTTCTGCTATTTGCTTCAATTAGCCACTGCAGTCACTGATTCTCCCTCTTGCTCAGCCTAATTTGTCTTAATTACTGCTTCCATTAGTTTTGCATCATGAATTACAAAGCTGATTTGAGGACTGTCTTATGACACCTTCTCAGAGCACCAAAATGACTAAATATGGCTCTGTTGACTTTATATGATGGGCAGTTTGGGTTTAGCAAAGGTGAGCCTTCTTTGGACATGTGTCCATGGAAGAGGTTGTCTGCCTAAAGGCATCAGTCTTAAATCTATCTTTGAGATTTCAGCAACATTATCAAGCCTGAATCTTCCTGGTACTTTAGCATATGTAGAACTAAAGAATCTTTCTCTTGGGATCTCTTATAGTATTTTGTGCCTGTCTTATAAACTTACCATATTCTAATTACCCATTATAGTTGTTTGTGTTCCTATCTCTCTAATTAGACTGTAAGTTTCCTGAGAGCAGAGAATATGTTTTATTAATCTTCATATCCTTGGTCCTAGTACACTGACGTACACTGATTGTTCAGTTGTGTTTGTGACCCCATTTGAGGTTTTCTTGGCAAATATACTACAGTGGTTTTTCTTCTCCAGCTCATTTTACAGATGAGGAAACTGAGGCAAACAAGCTTAAGTGGCTTGCCCAGGGTCACTCAGAAAGATGGGTCTTTCTGGTTCCCAGCCCAGTGCTCCATCTAGTATGCCACCTAGTTACCTAGAGCTACACTTAACAGGTCCTTAATCTATGTTGTTTGAAATAAATGGAGAAAGCTTTTTTTTATAGGTTCCATAGATTACTACTTAGCAGTTCAGACTCTCAATAACCCTTACCTGAAGTACTGTAATAGATTTCTAATTGGTCTTCCCTCCTCAAGTTTCTTCCCTTTTCCATCCTCTATATCCCTGCCAAACTGATATTACTGAAGAACAGAGCCATGTCACTCCTTTGCTCAATAAGCTCCAGGTATTCTTTACTGTATATAGACTAACCTATAGACTTTGTATATAGACTCCTATTTGGAATTTAAAGCCCTTCACAATCTAGCTATAGCTTTTATTTCCAGGAATGCAACATGACAGGAAGAGATCCCTTTCTAGTGGAAATTTTTTTATTTTTCCGTTAACAAAGACCTTTCTGAGAATATTTGCTTTTAATTTTGCACTACTAACAGGCTTCCTTGTTGTAAAAAAAAAAAGCATTCAGAGAAGATGAAAAGCTCTTTCAGAAAAAGGAAAAAGAAATCAAATTTTAAAAAAGGCTAGATGCTATTAACATTCATTCAATAAATATTTATTAATTACTTGCTGAGGAGAGTATTATTGTAGATGTTGAGGGGGATGCAATGTTTAAATAAGATAGAATAATCTCTATTATCATAGAGAGTATTGTACTGGAAGCCACCCATGTGATTCAGTTGGTAGAAAGAAAACACCTGGCCATGGGGATATGGCAGAGACAGGGAGATAAAACAATAGATAGATTGCATTTAGCAAAAGTAAACACCTCACTGGACATCGTGTGCAATAATAGAGCCGAAGATTCATAAGTAGCTAATTAAAAGCTAGTGAATGCTCAGAGAAAAACCAAAATTAAGCTTCCCAACCTTTAATGGGCAATGGATGGTCAGCACTGCCACCCTGAGGCCAAACATTACAAAGCTCTCAGGAAATGGAATATTTCTGGGTTTTCTTCCAATTCTTCTGGCCCTGAATGGCATTTCTTCTTGAGCAGGCAGGTCTGATATCATTAATTAGCTTTGCTCCAATGTGACCTTAGGTGAAATAAGGATGGGGGAGTATATCACCAATGCCATAAATATTTCATTAGTCTAAGAAGGATTTCTGTAATGTTAGGCAGGATTTGATTATAATATATTAATAACATCATTCCAAAATGATGTTGCACAGGGCAATTTTACATGGGACATGTCTACACCCAAAGATCCTCACCTTTAGTTTATTTTCTTTAAATTCTCATTTTTTGAGACACAGACAGATACACAGAGGCAGAGAGAGAGAGAGAGAGAGAGAGAGAGAGAGAGAGAGAGTAAGTATAACCCAAGTGCTGAAATCACTGAAATTCTGAGAGAGTGGAAGCGATGGGAGGATTCCTGAAGGCAAATGGCTGATGAGAAATACAAGAAAATAAATGAAAGAGTGACAGAGAAAGGCAAATAGATCGTAATACCCATAAGGGCAAACGCTGATTATTTAGCAACTTTAATTTTTAAGGAGAGCTTTCTATTTAATTCCTCCTCCAAGTTAAGTTCAAGTCTTAGTTTTTCCACTTACTTCTCTGCTTCTGGTCAGCATTTAGTGTTACTCCTTCTTGCATAGTCTTACTTAGGGAAGGTCTCATATTATTTTCTTTTTATAATAGCTTTTTCTTGTCTTTTATTAATCACTATATTTCCCAATATATCCTTCCCTTTACCTCCTTCCAGAGAGCCATCCCTTATAACATATGCCATATTCTATACCATAGCCCCTTCCTGCCACATTCCAGCAAATAAACTAGGAGAGGTACCTTCTCATATTTCTTCATTATAATTTTCCAGCATTCAGTTTCAATTGGTTTCTTGTTTTTCTTTCTATTTGCTTTGCTCTAGTTATTAGGTGTATACTTTTTTCCTAGCTCTGCCGCTTTCATTATTTTTCACATTGTACCAGCTCATATACAGTATCTTTCAATATTTCTCTGTAGTCATCATATTTATTATTTTATAGAACAGTAATAGTCCACTACATCCAGGCACCACAATTTATTTATCTATTCCCTAATTAATGAGCAAATGCTTGGTCTCCAATCCCTCCTACAAATATTTAGGTGCCTTTCTTTCTGTTTTTGTCCTTCTTGGAGTATAAACCTAGCAGTGGAATCTCTGGGTGCAAGGACATGGGTGGTTTACTCACTTTCTGCCTAATTCCAAATTACTTTCCAAAAGGGTTGATCCTTTCTCTTATTTTCTAGCAATAGCTCAAATCCAAGTATCACTGTTCTCCTAGTAACTCTAGGAAGAGACGTAGTTTTGGTGGGGGGAAGGGGTTGTTCCATTAGCTTCAGTTTTCTTAGAAGAAAATCAGAGTTCAGAGAGGCGAGTGACTTCCTTCTGGTTACAACTGGCAGGAGTCAGAACTGAGATAGGAACTCAAGTCTTCTGACTACTAGCTTAGTGCTTTTTGTTGTTGTTGATTTTGAGTTTTAATCTCTAAGGTGGAGACCAAGCCCCTTTAGTCATTTTTTTAACCTCCCCTAAATCTTTTTAATCTTCTGCAATCATTTTATTTTCCAGGTACAACATGTAGGGGTGTCCCAAAAATCTAAGGGCCGTTAATAGCTTAAAATTGCACCAAAACTTTTGGGAAATCTTTTTTAAAAATAATATTTATTTTTCCCTCAATTACATGCAAAAATAATTTTAACATAAAAAAGTTATGAGATCCAAATTCTATCCCTCCTTCTCTCCCCTTTCCTTGAGACAGGGAGCAATCTGACATAGGTTATATGTATGCAATCATGTAAAACATTTCCATATTGGTCATTTTGTGCAAGGAGACTGGAATAAGAAAGGAAGAAAGAAAGAAAATGTAAAAAGAGTATGTTTCAGTCTATTCAGACCATATCAATTCTTTCTTTGGAGGTGGATAACATTTTTCATCATAAGTTCTTTGGGATTGTGTTGGGTCATTAGTAGGTAATCACCTACTATGTAGCAAGTGATCAAAAGATGAAAAATGAATCAGGTCCTGCTCTCAAGGAGTTCACATTCCATTGAATGACTATAGAGTCATAATTAGTTCTACTCTAATATATGCATTTTCATGTGTTCAGTCATGTGAAATCTATACCCACCTACACACACATATTCTTGGCCCCTCTGCTCATTCTTGCGTGGTGCTGAGCAGATGTCTGCAGAGGTTATTTCCCAGAGAGCTCGAAGCTAATTCAGAATTCAGAGGAGCTGCCAAATCACTAGGCATACATAAGAAAGATGCAAGTTTTGACCAGAGAAAAGAGTTAACATTGTTATTTAAGTGTGTTTAATTGCTGGGATTTCTCCATAATATCATCCTAGAATGACATCTGGGTTGAAACTGAACATGAGATTCCTTTGTGGTGAACAAAATAAAACAGATCGTGCACAGTTTCTGCTCCTTTTTGATGTTCCTGTCCAATTTCCAAGGGCTGTACTTACCTCTCTGTGACTGTTTTGGCCTTGCCAAGATATCAGCTGTGAGATAACACTGGCATTCATCATTTTCAATGTGGAGGGGAAGCAGCACTTGGAACAAAGGCTCTGAAAGTAAGAAAGATCGCAGGGAATTGTTCTGGTTATTATTCCCCTCTGGTGCCAACTAAACCCCCTTTGTCTTCTCTGTTTGGAGGGGATGATTCCCTCCCTCCTCAAACATTGGATTTGCACGTGATTAAAGACTCACTTTTGGTGTATTTGAGGTAGGTCAAGTACAAAAAGGGACTAGATTGCTGGAAGTTTTGGCTGCCTATGGGGGACGATACAGACTGACTTGAAGTGAGTCCTAGGCATAAAGTCCAAATCATAGGCCTGATAAGTCAGATAACCATGGAATTCGACTCAGAAAAAATTCGGCCACACACAGATGCAGCCTTTGTGACAAGCTGGTCTCTATATTGCCAGATGGAATGGTTTGCCTTTAGGTCTAAATACTTTATTGCCTTGGTTCTGTGTGCATTCAATCACATCCAAATACAATGAATCAGAGCCATAGAAAACAATTCTGGTGCCCAGGGTAAGAATCAATAAATGTGCCCTGGGACAAGTACAAATTCATTTGAGAAAAGTCAGTTGGGGGTGGAGGACAAGGAAGAGAAACCTCAAGAGTAGAGAGGGGCCCCAGCACATGAAGTCCCAAGAAGTGAAGAGCCCCCAAGATCTCCCAAGGCCACTTCAGAAGGAGGAAATAGTGTGGGGTCAGGTCAGGGAG